CCCCTCCGGGCCCCTGGGCTCGCGCCCTGTGCGCCGCGGCGGCTCGGCTCCCCTTTAAGGCTGCAGGCCGTTGACGTTGAACTGCCTTTGCCTAGGGGTGGTTGTGAGCTCGGTCGCGGCGGTGGCGGGCGGAGAGCGCGGAAGAGGCTCGGGCTGGTTCCTGCACCTCTAGCGTCTCCAGGGCGGCGCCGTCCCCAGAGGCAGGCGCGTCTCCGCGGAAACCTCATTTGCACGGTCGAACGCCAGGGCCGAGGTGCGGACCTCCTCGCTGTTCTTTAATCGTCCGCGTTCCTTTGGGTGGTTTTTCTTGAGTGGCACAGTAAAGCGGCGCTTTTTTTTTTTTTTTTTTAATGGGCCCTACCGGAAATCAGCTGAAAAGACCCGGCGAGGAAGAAACTCTTTAACAGCTGTTTTTAGCTTAAAGTGATTGATATTTCAGTTGTGGTTTCCTATCAGAAAACCAATCAACTGAGGAACTTTTTCAAAGCCGAGATAGCAGGACCACACCCCAAATCTGTATCAGGAAGTGGGAGAGCGGGCTGGTGGATGTTGAAAAGTCTCTTTGAGTCTGATGTGCGTCAGTTTAGGGAGTCACCTAAGCAGTCATCTAACCAGATTAGGTCCTAAGAGTCCCTCTCTTAGTGCCTTAGCATGAGTCGGATTACAACTGCCTTAACAATGTTGGTTATAGAAGCTTTCAGAGAGGGGTCTTTGAGAAACAAGTACACTGGGGACTTTATGGAGTGCAATGGACTGTTTTAAAGTTAGGGTCATGAAGCGCTTTCTTCTGACAGTGTTCCCAAGAAACTTATTCTTTAAGCTGCTGCTATAAGTCCTTAAAACAAGCCATCTGGAAACATTTTTCATTTATTCTTTCAAAAATATTGACCTCTTAGTATGTAGCCAGTAGTGTTTTAGAGTCTTTAGGATTACAGCAGAGAACAAAGGAGATCCTTACCTTCAAGGAGTCTGCAATCTAATGAATAGAGTGAAGAAATAAAACGGAATCACTGTAGGCAAGCTTCTAAATTACTGAAATCAAGTAGGTTGTGGTATGAGGAAACTATTCTATTTTGTTTTAACTAGCCTGAGAACTTAAACTTTTGAACTTTCCTGTTCTGCAACAATGCCTGGACATAACATCAGACCTCCGATAACCCTCTTGATTAGACTCACCAATTCGGACCACCTGACATCTGACTGATAACCATCCTCGACCAATCCTAGGGCTAGGAACGCAGGACTGATTTTCCTCAAACATGCATTTTTTACTATAAGAACTCTTAAGAACACGTCTGGGTTTTTGCCTAGTTGTGTTTCTGGTTTGCAAACCTAAAGACCCTTGAATAAATCATTGCTAGCCAACGCCTCTAAACTCTTTTTGAGTTTGTTCAACAATAACGAAGGGACATAGAAAATAAATATATGCTATTAAAAAAAAACCTAAGCACTGTAAAAGAGATTAGAGATGATTGTGGAAGGTCTCTGTGAACAAGCCTGGTGGCTCTCTTGCAGAAGAGTGTTCCAGGCAGCGGAACAAACAGTAAGTAGGTTCTGAGGCAGAGATTCATGGCTTGTTAGAGGAACTGCAAGGAGTCGGTGTGGCTGGAGTGGCTTGAACAAGTGAAAAAGTAGAACATGACATGAGAAAATTTAGGGGGCCAGGTCATACACAGAAATAGTCTTCAATTTTAACTTTTATGCCCTTGAAAAGAACTTTGAAAAAACTATTTTTTCCCCCTCAAACACTGTAAGTTGACTATATAATAAGTGACAAGAGTTCAATTTCTGACATTTTACAACTCACATTTTTAAATTAACTGTTACATTACTTTTAAATCCAATGGAACAGTAAACACTAAAGTGGCTTAAACACCAGCATCCATTTTGTATTATTTTTTAAATAATTTCATTTCTTGATTACAGTTGATGTACAATATTAGTTTCAGGTGTACAACGATTAGACATATAACTTAGAAAGTAATCACCCTGATAAATCTAGTACCCGTCTGACATAATACATAGTTACAATATTATTGACTGTATTTACTATGCTATACTTTACAGCCCCAGACTATTTTGTAGCTGCCAATTTGTACTTCTTAATCTCTTACCTCATCCCCCTATCTGGCAGCCATCAAAATATTCTCTGTATAAGTTTGTTTCTATTTTGTTTGTTCATTTATTTTGTTTTTTAGATTCCACATATAAGTGAAATCATGTGGTGTTTATCTTTTTCTACTTCATTTAACTCGGTACCCTCTAGTCAATCCATGTTACCACAAATGGCAAGATTTCATTTTTTTAAGGCTGAGTAATGTTCCATTATATATATGTACTACTTTATCCATTCATCTATTGATGGACACTTAGGTTGTTTCTGTACCTTGGTTGTTGTAAATAATGCTGCAATGAACATATAAATGAATGTCTTTTCAAATTAGTGTTTTCGGTTTCTTTGGATAAGTGCCCAGAAGTCGAATTATTGAGTCCTTCTTTGTCTCTTGTTATAGCATTTACTTTGAAATCTATTTTGTCTGGTATAAGTTGCTACCCCAGCTTTTTTTTTTTTTTTTTTTTTCATTTTCATCAAATATGTTTTCCATTTCTTTCAGTCTATGTGCATCTTTAGATCTGAAGTGAGTCTCTTGTAGGCAGCCTGTGCAAGGGTCTTGTTTTCTTATCCATTCAGCCACACTATATCTTTTGATTGGAGCATTTAATCCATTTATATTAAAAGTAATTATTAGATATATAATTAATGCCATTTTTTTCATACTTTGATCTTTTTCTTCTTAAATCTGTTTAACATTTCTTATAATATGATGGTGATGAACTCCTTGAGCTTTTTCTTGTCACAGAAGCTCTTTTTATGTCCTTCAATTGTAATTGATAACTTTGGTGAGTAATCTTGGTTGTAGGTCCTTGCTTTTCATCACTTTGAATTTTCCTGCCAGTCCTTTCTGGCTTGCAAAGTTTCTGTTGAGAAATCATCTGACAGTCTAATGGGAGCTCCCTTGTAGATATCTAACTGCCCTTCTCTTGCTGCTTTTAAGATTCTCTCTTTGTCTTTAACTTTTAGCATTTTAATGATGATGTGTCTTGGTGTGGGCCTCTTTGGGTTCATCTTCTTTAAGACTCTCGGGGCTTCCTGGGCTTGTATGTCTATTTCTTTCTCCAGGTTAGAGAAGTTTTCCATTATTATTTCTTCAACTAGGTTTTCGATTCCTTACTCTGTCTTTTCTTCTGGTTACCCCTATGATGTGACTCTTGGTTCACTTGGTATTTTCCCAGAGGCCCCTTAAACTATGCTCATTTTTGGATTTTTTTTCTTTTTGCTGCTCTGATTGGATGTTTTCTGCTACCTTATCTCCCAAATCGCTGATTCAGTCCTCTGCTTCATCTAATCTACTGTTGATTCCCTCTACTTTATTCTTCATTTCAGTTATTGCTTTCTTTATTTCTGACTGGTTCTTTTTTATGTTTCCTTTCTCCCTTTGTTGAAGTTCTCACTGAGATCACTGGACATCCTTATAACCAGTGTTTTGAGCTTTAAATCTGGTAGATTGCTTGTCTCCATTTTGTTTAGTTCTTTTTCTGGAGCTTTCTTCTGATCTTTCATTTGGGACATGTTTCTTTGTCTCACTATTTTGGCTGCCTCCTTGTGTTTGTTTCTATGTATTAGGTAAAGCTTCTATGTCTCTTGGTCTTCGTAGAGTGGCCTTATGTAGTAGGTGTCCTGTGAGGCCCATGGTGCAGTCTCCTTGGTCACTAGAGCTGGGTGCTCCAGGTGTGTCCCTTGTGTAAGTTGTGTGTTTCCTCCTGTTGTAGTTGATCATTGATTGCTGTTGGCACGTCAGTGGAAGGGATTGAACCTTGGTCAATCAGTGGGAGGCTGATTGTTGAAGACTGGCTCTAACTACAGTAGAGGACCTGTTATGCAGGGGCTGACCTTATAGAGCAGGATTCGCTTTAGCGGGGCTCTGGTGTCTGCTGAGTCTGCCCAAGTGTGTTGTTTGTGGAGGTGGTTGGATGATGCTCTAGTGTGATCTGAAGTTGGCTACAGGGTTGCTGGTTCTGGGGAATCTTGGGAGTGGGAAGCTCTGTTACAGGCCAAGTCAGCCTCGGCCTGTGCCCTGCCTGGGGGCCAGTCGGTATGAGCTACAAAGTGATCTGCAATGGTTGTCATTTGTGCTGGGCTTGGAGGTGCATGGGTGAGGCTAGGCTGAAAACTGAGGCTGGCTGCCATTAGTGCCAGGCTTGGAGCTGCTTAGCAAGAGGAGTAGGGCACACTGAGGCCAGATGCTGCTTGTTTGTGGTTTGTGAACCTTCAAGAGATTTTAGGAAAGTCTGCAGCATGAGTCAAGACAAGTCATTTGTATGGAAAAGACACTGGAAGGGGCTTGGGTATGCCCACAGGTTGGGTGGGATGGGGTCTTGGAATCACCAGGGCAGAGCGAATGGTGTTAACCAGGTTGATGGTACCCACCTATGTGTGCAGGATGGATGGTGGGAGGGCTCAACAAAGGAACAATGGCTCTGCCAGCACTTCTGTCTTTGAGAACACTGCCCCTTCAGCCCGTGCCCTAAAGTCAGACAATTCACTTCCTCCCCGTATGTCCCTCGTGCCTTTTGAGCTACTGCCCCAGCACTGGAGCTCAGAGCTTGTGAGTTTGTAAGCAAGGAAGTCCATGTGCTGTCCCTTTAAGAGGAAGCCTGTGACTCCAGCTGCCCTCTGTCTCACTCAGCCACAATCTCTGCTGGTTTTCACAGCCAGAAGTTGTGGGACCTTCTCTTCTCAGCACTGGAACCCTGGGTTGGGGACCCTGGTGTGGAGCTGGTACTCCTCATGGGGGACCTACACAGCTGAGATATCCCTCCCAATTTTTCACCACCACATGTGGGTGTGGAACCAGCTTGTTCCACATCTCCACCTCTCCTACCAGTCTTGATGTGGCCTCTTCTGTATGTCCTTCATTATAGGACTTCTGTTCAGCTAGACTTCAGGTGATTCTCAACAATGGTTGTTCTGTACTTTAGTTGTAATTTTGATGTAGTCATGAAAGGAGGTGAGCACAGCATCCATCTACTCCACCATCTTGGCTGGAAGCTCCACCAGCATCCATTTTAAAGGTACATAATTTAAAAATGTTATGTTTTGTTAAATATTAAACATGAAAAGTGTTATTGGTAGTGTTTTAATAAGATGGCTGGTAGTTTGTTTTTTTTTTTCTTTTTTCAATTAGTTTATGTAGACATTGGTGTGTACAGCATTACTAGGAAGAGATAAGATCCTGTGTCAATTTCACTTTTTCATTTTTATAGATATAAGCACTGCATTAAAAAAAAAGTCTATACATATATACATACTCGTATACCCCTTGGAAAATTTTCCTCCACTGGAGTACCCAAGGAGCATTCACACCCAAGTTTTAAGATCCTGAGAGAAATGGGAAGTCTTGGATGAATTTTGAGCAAAGACTCGAAGTTAAAAAGAGACACTGTGGCTTTCTTGGATAAATCACTTGTAGAGGGCCAGAGTGGAAGAAGGAAGACATTTTAGGCTACTAATCAATAATGGTTGATTGGACTAGGGTGGCATCTGTGCAGGTGGTGAAAAGTATGAGTATATATAATAAGGAGCAAATACTTTTCTTCAAATTGACTTAAAAAAAATAAGTTAATGGCCGAATTTCTCAAACAAAAGCTTTGAATTTTTCTTAACCTTTTGATGCCTGCTACTGTTTGCCTTTATTAAAATCTAGTGTAAAACTGTTGTTTTCAAAGGCTGTATAATTTTAGAGAGAGGAAATTGCCCCCATGCAATTTACTGTGTGCTCTGAGAAGGCAGTGCCTGGAATTAAACTGTTATGTAATACTTGGAGACACTAAAAAAGATACCTGGCCACATCCTTGATTTGCAATGGGAGCTTAGAAATCCTGCAGGAGAACTGTGAATTCATTCATGAGGCTGAGATATGATATGACATATCTGTGACAGAGAGACTGTGTAGCCTGGAGGTTGAATCTGTGCTCTGGAGCCAACATATCTGGTTTTAAGCCTGGTTCCACCAAAAACTAGCTGTGTGACTTGGGGTAACTTACTTAACTTGCCTCAGTTTCCTCAGTTGTCAAAGGGTGTTTCTTACTAGTGTGACCTACCCCAAGGTTGTCTGACAATTAAGTATTTGTTAAGTGCTAATAGTACCTGGAGTATGGTAAACAAATGAAGGTAAAAGTAGACCCGAAGGTTCTTGAAAG